GAAGAGGCACTCTTGCTCTCCATAACTATGTACTTAGTTAATTTATTTTATACCCAGGAGCAGAGAAGAAGATTTTCATAGAAATAATGCACTTTCACTATATGATCTATATAGCCCCACCCTAGCACCAGAACCCCTGGCCCTGGGGCCATGAATTTACAATTTTGGAAGAGGCACTCTTGCTTATCATAACTATGTTCTTAGTTAGTTTATTTAATACCAAGGAGCAGAGAAGAAGATTTTCAAAGAAATAATGCACTTTCACTATATGATCTATATAGCCACACCCTAGCACCAGAACCCCAACCCTGGGGCCATGAATTTCACAATTTTGGTAGAGGGCTCAATGCTTATTACAATAATACCAACAGTTTGACTGCTTGATGTCCAGGAGTAAAGAAGAAGATTTTTAAAGATTGCATTAATTTTGGTGGTTTTAGCCCCACCCCTCAGGCCCCAGGGGGGGGGGGGGGGGCAGGGACCATGAAATTCACAATTTTGTTCCTCTTCATCTATAGATGCTATATGCCAAATTTGGTTGAAATTGGTTCAGTGGTTTCAGAGAAGAAGCTAAAAATGTTTAAAAGTTAACGCACGACAGACGACGACGGACGAAAACAGATAGCAATAGGTCACCTGAGTGACTCAGGTGACCTAAAAACATATTGAATATGATCTGGACAGTATGGCACGTGGAGGGGGCATATTGATTTGATGTGTGCTGGGTAGCTAGGTAACATGAAGGAGGCACATTAACAATAAGAGGTGGGTAGGCAGCATAACATGGTTTGAAACAGTATTCTTTTCGACCAATGAAATTTCAAGATTTTTATCAGAGGCAAGATAAATGTATTTGTGGGATTGTTAGAGGCTACCATACCTAAACTTGATAACTTACTGAGCAAGTACAGACATCACAGGGGTCTCCACGGGGGCTGAAGGATTCCCCGTCCCTGTATACTCTCCCTTGGTACGTACAAGCTACAAGTACAGTACATATCATGTTATAATTATGCTCACAAACAGGTAAATAGCTCACTAATCTTTTTTTAAACTTACAAACTATAGCTATAAGCATTAGTTATTCACTAGAACTGGAGTTCACAAATATAAAATTATATCTTTTTTACAACAACTTTAATTTCTTATATTTTTATCATAAACAATGATACATGTAAACCTACATGAATGTAAACAATAATTCTCCTTGTATTTGAAAAAAAATGTACAGTTTATATGCATATAAATAAAATAAGCAGGCTAAAATTTTTTTTTTTCATATATGGTAATTGACATTACTCTATTTTAGATATATATTTTAATGTATTGTTTGTCATAGGATGACAATTCCATTTTCTGAAAATCTGCCTCAGAAAAATAAACAAATGGGACATATAAGTCAACAACAAATCTGAATACTTTAGTTTTATAGCTTACTTGGACAGACAGGACAACACTCGTTCGGATCATTGATAGGATTATCACAGACAGAGAAGCACTTCCTCTCTTCGCAGGTCATCACTGTGTTATGACATAAGCAGTTCATACATGGTTCTCTCTCCAGAACAAAGGCAGACCCATCCACATACTGCCGACCATTGAAAGAACAACCTAAAAACCATCAAGCCACACTATAAATTTACCCTGAAGGAAATAACTGCAATTTATCCCATGGTATAAGTTTTTAAAATAATAATTTCTAATATTATCATCGTTTTAGATTTTATGTAATTTTTTTGTCATTTTATACCCAAGTTTTCACATGTATTTTGGCACAGTTATTAATTTACAGCTAAAATACTAGTTATTTCATCTAAATGTGATGATAAACAACTACACGGACAATATTTTATTGGTCGCCATCCTTACTTTTACACCTGGGACAGCACTCTCCCTCTGGAACTTCCTGCTGAATGCAGGCTAAAGGGGGACAGCTCTGGGTAATACACTTTACATTTCCATTCTATATGAAGTTTAAAAATATTTCTTTAAGATATCTAACCTCAAACCAGCTTTAAAAATGTCCCATACTAGAATTATATTTAACATATTATAAAAGAAAAACATTGTTGAATTCAATCAAGCTGAAAATGTGTCATAAATTCATCTTTATATTCACAACAATTTCTAATGTGTTCTAAAGCATAAATCTGATATGAAATACATTAAAGTTGCACATCATGACAACAGATAAAAGAGTTCTAATTCAAGAAAGGTTCATCATTATTTTCTCAAGAATTTTATGCTATTAAGTTATACCATGGTAGACATGTCAAACTTACAGTGCATGTGCAGGTGCGACAGGCATCAGGTTTGAAAGTTGCACCATTCTGACGAATTTTTCCTTCAAATTCACAATTGTCACACAAGGGGCAGCATGCACCTTGAGTGGGGTAAGTACAGGGTGTGTCACAAGGAGGTCTCACACACTCAACCTTGTCTCCCTGAGGAAAATGCACGACGGTTCAAAAGTTAGTGAAAGTGTTAGAACTATTCATTGGAAACATTAGTGAATAAAACGTTTTAAGCAGAGTAATTGAGGATTAAAGATTAAATAATAGACATTGTGACAATTAAAATCAAGTTTGATTTCCTTTCAGATTAAATCAACCAGCTGGTATATATGGTTGTTTGATATCTATAGAAATTGAATATCAGCTGTGAAAAAAATTCTAGAAACTTTAAACTATAGAAGTTATAGAACAGTTCCGAACAGAGGAACAATGCATTACTTTATTATAAACATTATTAAGTAAGAATACAGCAAAGCTTTGTCATTACAATGTAATGTTATTTATAAAGGATATAAACAAGATAAAACGATGTTTGGAGATTGACTTACAAAACAGGTGCAAGTTTTACACTGGTCCTGAGGGTGGGTAAATCTCTGTCCATCATCGTACACACGGCCCAGGAAGTTACACACTGTAGCAGAAATAACAAGGTATTAAAATCAATAAGGCCCATAACAGTCATAATATTCACAGGAGTCATGTCAAGTGCCTCTCTCTCTCTTCAACATATAATGTAATGAAACCTCTTACTATGGCCCTAGACTAGGTCATTGGACATACTTATTCCTGTCCATGTTCTTAACAAATTTGAAGCCCTGCAATATTTAATATCTATAGATATTACTTCTCTCTTGAACCTAAGGGACCAAAAGACTTGCAAACACTTAAATTTGCACTATACATAGAAAAACTACCCAATAATTCAGAAAATTCTACAGAGTATTACTGTTTCATTCAAAAAAGATTTCAAATTTTAGAATGTGCCAAGTTTTTTTTTAAAGTTTTCACTGTCCTTGACCTTACATACCTGGACATTCAGGACAGCACTCTCCAGGTCGGGTCACAGGTCGAGGACAGTTCACAGGGTCACAGGCTATTGTCAGGCAGTTCACATTTCCATCCTGGAAAAATACAACACATTAATACACTGTATATATAACTAATGCAATGTATACAATATCCCTTCTCAGAATTTTCTTTCCAAAAATGTAAAGTAATGGGGATAGACAAATTAGGCATAATTAGATTCAGTCAATGTGATGTTGAGCAAAAGTTCATTGAGTTGTAAATTTCATCCATCAGAAACAAACTGACTTAATGTTTCTTAATCATGAAAGTGGTAAAGCAGTTATATTTAAAAGAATTCTGGACAAATATCCCATCTCTACAGTGCGTCTTTTCCCAGATGGGACAGTGACATATGGACAGGCTGCTGTCATTGACTATTTACTGTTGTATTGATTATTTACTGCAAATACTCATCCAAACATTTCACTCTCTACCCCCCCTCCCCCTTTGTCTCAATTTTCTGTGCATTTATGCACACTACAACTGCTCCTTATTAATGTATCGATTCATGATGACCTTACCCTACACTGACACTGCCGACATGGATCACTCTTAGATGTAAACACGCTGCCATATTTCTGTACCACACCCTCGTAACGACAATCTCTACAGATAGGGCAGCAGCCATCAGTGGTGGCGGGATGTGAACAATCCACCCGACAGGTTCTCTTCAGACACTGGACACTTCCTTCCTAAATATTACAAACACAATTATGATATAACAATTCTTCTAACAGTGTATACATCACCCTTTCAACCTCAAGTCTACTTTAATTTTTATTCAAAAGTATGAGAGCTTATATTAACAATGTGATGTTACATTGTTACAATTAATAGAAAACATATATTTTCTCCAAAAACAAATGCACTAAGTGTCAGGTTTTATTAGAATAAAGGTCATCAACCCAAGTGTCATTTGTAAAGGCTAAAAATGTTTGAAATATTTATTAAGGTCTTCCGTTTCAGTCGGAAGACCTTATAGCGATTGTACTGTTTATTATTATTATTTTTTTCCTGTTTTTTGTCCAAGCGATTTCTCAGAGATGGCTTGATGGATTTTCTTGAAACTTTCAGGGATAATGACAAATGAAAAAAATCTAGAAACATTTTGAAGGATTTTGCAAAATTCACTTCCGGTCATCAGATATGTCCAATTTCCGTTTTTTCAAAAGAGATCATGTCCGGACGATATCTCAGAAACGGTAAAAGATTAAGACCTCAAACTTTTAGGGAATAGATCATGACAAGTACATTTGTGGAATATGTTTAAATCCGTCAGCCGTCACTTCCGGTCGTCACAGGAAGTGATCAAAGAAATCAAAAATTTCAACTTTTCTTATTTTAATTAAATCTTGCAACACGTTATTGCATCTGTTTTGCAGTTTCGAAATATGTTGGTCCAACCGGAAACAGAAACGTCAACTTCCGGTTATAAGCGAAAAACTATATAATTTGAGCATTTTACTTTCCCATAAATGTCGTTTATAGATGAAGTATTTGAAATGATTTTTAGATATGTAATTTAGACTGCAAATGTCTAGAGTAACGTCAAATATCTTGGTAAAATTCACTTCCGGTCGCATGTTTTACTGTCCGCAAAATAAGAACTTGTCAAAGTGAGATCTCAGAAACGGTAAGAGATTAAGACACCAAACTTCTATAATAAATAGAACTTCATAAGTAGGCAAAACCCTTTGGGTTAATAGCGTCAGTCGTCACTTCCGGTCGTTACAGGAAGTGATCAAAGAAATCAAAAATTTAAACTTTTCTCTTTTGAAATAAAACTTGCATCATATAATTGAATTTCTTTCACAGTTTCCATATGTGTTGGTCTCACTGGAAACAAAAAACGACAACTTCCGGTTATAAGAGAGAAACTAAGTAATTGTTATTTTTAACTTTCCCAAAAATATCACTTATTGATAAAGTTTTTGAAATGATTTTTACATATGTTATTGAGACTGCAATTGTCTAGTGTGAAGTCAACCATCTTAGGAAAATGCACTTCCGGTCCCATGTTTTTCTGTCCTCAAATTGAGATTTTGTTCACCTAATTGCTCAAAAACAGTACATAACTGAAGTCTAAAACTTTCAGAACTGATAGTCACCAGTTTATCTACATCGTGTAAAAATCGTACGTTACCGTCACTTCCGGTCATGACAGGAAGCGATGCAAAAAAGTGAATTTTTAAATTTTTTCTTCTTTTTACAGAAATGTTTGGCTAATGCAGATGTTAGATAGACAATGACCATGCAAATTATTTTCATTGGAAGTGCCAACCGAAAAACAAGAAGTTGTCTCAAACATGTGTAGTTTTTTCATGGAAGCTTTTAGGGATGATCAGTTGTGAATAATTTAGGTGTAGAATGAACATTTTATTCATTTGGAGCACTTTCGTTCATGAAGAAAACAGAAAAGTAATTCCGTTTGCTTTTATCTGTATTTACATATCTTTGGAAGCCTTGAGATAACTTTTGTTTATTATTTAGAGTAATCTTATTGAGAAGATTGTGTTCTTTTTTCAAAGAAGTCAAGAAAACGGAAGACCTGTTATTGCCTAGGCAATAAGTATCTAGTTTATCATATTATTATTGTAAATGATGCATGCAATGATGGACAATTTCCCTTAATATCTAACCCATCCATTGAAGATGATTTTACTTTGTAGAGTTTAACTGATCCTTGAAAATATAGAGAAGTGTTGTGATATACTGTATGTCATGCACCGCTGATTGTTGATTGAATTTAATAAATGAACTTGATGTCTATATTTATTTAAGGTAAAAATAAAAGATGTAAAAAGCAAACTGGCAACTAACAATGGCTAAAGAGTGAAAATTAGGGAAGTTTGAACACTCATGTTTTTATTTCTCCTATTTTAGTTACTCGCAACTAAAAAGGAAAAAAAAAAATTACGTGATCACTTATTCAATAAGGAAAAAAAGAGATTTTAAGCTACTGTTAAAAAGCTTACATAATAGGGGGCCAACTAGGCAACAAAATAATAATAAATGAAGTTAACCTTTTCTTTAAGTATACTGAGAATTCCTATTAAAATTTCCTGAAAACCTATACATATCACAAAAACTTCTCAGAAAAGATTTAAAGAGAATCATGTTTGCATTCCATGTTTGCTGTCCAGATTATGACATTATATCAAAGGAAATTGTCTACTTTTTTCCTCACCTTCACTGGAGTTTTCAAATGCAACTTTCATGCAATTACACTGGGTTTTTTTTTACAGAATCTTTAACCTGTTAAATGTTGTTCAAACCTACGTTTGGAAATATTTATACTTCTTATATCTATCATGTAAACTTCCAAATGAGAGACTTTTTCAGCAAAATTTCATTTAATTGATACATTGTTTTATCCATATTTTAAATCTAAATATTTTGTAATTTTAGGGTTCAAAGAGCATTCTTTAATTCTGCTATTTTAACTTCATTCCTCCTGATTTAATGTTAAAAAGCTTCTGGAGACAGGAACCCATTTTACAAAAGAACTGAAAGTACAAAAAGACTAAGACAATTTTTTTTAATTAATTATTTCTTCCTTTACATTAATCTGAAAAAAAAAAATGATATATATAGTCGAATTTTATTAAAATTTGAAAAAATATTCTTTGAAAGCAACTTTAATCAAAACTATATGGAAGGAAAGATTAAATTTAGAGACAGCTAAAATTGTTAACTTAGTTCGAAGTAGTTTTTTTTTTTTTTTTAATAATAAAACAGTCCCCTGTAAATTAAAAGTCCAGGACCTAGAAAGGTCACATTAAAAATTGTTATAGTTTAAAAATATTATTATACTATACAAATAATATCATTAACTTCTTGGCCAAAGTAATTTATTAATAATTCAAGGATTCAATTCAGAAATTTAAGATTAACATTTTTAAAAAAACAAAACCTCTCCCCCCTAAAAAAAATTTACATGAGAAGATGAGATTAAACAGCAAAATTTAAGTTTTTTTTTTTTTTTTCCTTAAATACAATGAGTGGAAAATCAGATTGATGGTTAAAATTGGAGACTTTACAGACAGATTAACAGTGGGGCATCAGTTAATATTGCTTTGGCAACATTTTAATTGTAATATGTACTGTTAACACTTATCAGATCTAGAGAATATAGATTCTAAATTTGATTGAATCATTTTCAATAAATAATATATGTATGAGAAGATTAACTTTCCTAGTATATATATATATATATATATATATATATATATATATATATATATATATATATATATATATATATATATATATATATATATATATATGTATACAGGGACCTATATACTAACGGGATAGGCAACTCTCGCAAGTCTCGCGATACCTCGTAAGTTGCGGGATTTCGTAAGTCAATTTTAATTAAATATATCTATTTTGCTATCAAATATTTCAGAATAAAATCTTAATTTATCTATCAAAAAATTATGCAAGATTTGTTATAAGCACCGTTTTTATTCCTCATCTTAGAAGTAATTACGTTTATTTAAAAATCAGTGTGTGCCCCTGATCGGCCGTATTTCCGAGAAATCGTCGATTTTAATGGTTGTTTACTTAATATCTAAATTATTTTATAATATGTGCTTTAAAATCGATACACAAAAAGAACAGATTACATTAATCAGAAAACAAGCTTTTTACTGGAGAAAAAAGTAGTTTGAAAACTTGCAGTGTTGTGTGTGCCGTTTTGGGTAAATAAACATGGCGCTGAAGGAGTTGCCTATCCCGTTAGTATATAGGTCCCTGATATATATATATATATATATATATATATATATATATATATATGTATCTTCTAAATTTGACTGAATCAGATCTAGAGAATATAGATTCTAAATTTGATTGAATCATTTTCAATAAATAATATAATATGTATGAGAAGATTTATTTTCCTAGTATATACTTTTCATTGATGTTTTTTCAGTAACTTTCTCATTAAAACTTCCTTAAAATTAGATATTAAGACACAATTAAATTTTCAAATATGTATCCGAATTCATACTAAGTCAGTCACTTATTTTCTAAACCTGAAAATACTATGATGTCAGAATTTACCTTTTGTGGAAAGTGAAATTTAAAATTTGATTTAATTTTGATTTAAATGTTTGTAATGTTCAGTTGTTTGTTCATGTTTTATTAAACTGTTAATTCATTAGATTTAAAATTTAATCAAGGAAACTTTTCAAATGTGAATTAAAGTTTGGCTTTAATCTTTAGTTCATCTCATTCAAGAAACACATCACTGTTTCACTTCCCATTGTCCTTTTCATCTCAGTAAAATTACAGGTAATCAAGGTAAACCACTAATTAACAGTACACTCAGGTGTTTTGACAAGACAGCTCTCATCTACCAAGTGTGGACTTTGTTGACTGTTAAAACACCATCATTGACACCTAGCTCCCTAAAACAAACCCTTCAAAACCCCACTTGTTTTCACAACAATTAATTGCCCCCTGAAACACAGGCTTCACTAAAACAGCAAGGGGACCTAACTGCTCATCATTAAACAAAAGAATTTGATTGGAGAATTAATTAGGAAATTTGTCATGTGACAGCAGGAGGCCAATAGAATGACTTGTTTCAAATTGAGGAGATAATTTTGAGCAGTCCAGAATGAGCTCCTTGTGAATGAGTAACTTGTCATTTGTGCCCAAGAAGACGACCAGAAAAGGTAACAATTTAATTATCTGAATATTCACAATTTAAAAGTATACTGCTAAAACTGTTAAAGTTCATCTTTAACATTACACACAATTTTTTAAAAAATATTTTCATGTTTTTTTTTTAATTTAAAAAAAAAAACCTATTCACATTAAACTATAATAATCTTATTACTTATTAAAGGTACTGTGAGGAGAATATCTGATTCCCTTAATTATATTGTCTGTTCTACATAAAAAAGAAGAAAAAATGGTAGTTGAGCACTATTATTTAATTTTGATAAAATTTTTGGTGATAAATTGAGGGATTTTAGCAGAATGCTGTTTTATTGAATTCAATGATTTGTGGTTTAGTTAAATGATTTGGTTAAATATGTGTGTTTAGTGAAATAATTGGTTCAATGAAAGTGTTTATATGATTGTAATAGGTATAATTAAATATCACTGATGTTTCTTCTTTAATAATAAAAATTAAGGTATTCTACATGAATTTGTTTTTAAAACTGTAATCTTGAAAAGGAAACTCAAATAACCTAAGAATTTTTATATTATACTAGCAAAATTCATGGTGATCATTATATTGAAATAACAATATATATTCCAATGATAGAGCCCTGACATTTTGAATTTAATTAAGGGATAACCTAGATCTGTAGAAAAGTTACAATTTCAGTCACTGAAAAATAAAACTGTCATTAAACAATAAAGTGCTGGTAGATGATAAAGAGTGCATTGTCCCCCCCACCCACTCCCCCATTTCACAAACCCCAAAATGTGTAGGACCCACTTACTCTACATTGGCACCTCTGACAGGGGTCTGACTGAGGTGTAAACAATTCGCCATGCCTCTGTATAGTATTCTCGTACATGCAGTCGTTACAAATAGGACAGCATCCGTCTGATGCTGAGGGGTGGGTACACTGTTCACGACAGGGAATCTTAGGGCACAGCACGGTACCATCCTGTAAAGAATGAAAACAAAGTTTACGCAATTTGATATAACTTTACACTGACTCCAATACAGCTCTGAACTAAATTGAAACTCAACTTCCATTGTAATTCACCATATTTCACATATACTCAGAAAGCTAGATTGATAAAATGCTTACATAAATATGCTCTATTGGTTGGTTCATTTAATTATAATGTGCAACAATCTAGCTTGTAAGGGTATATGTTTCTGTCTAAATTGTAGGAATAGATCTGGTGTTCAAATCCCGTCACTTGTAATGTGCTAGTGTGACACAGGAAACTAGCACTTACCTGTGCTGGGAATCACACACCTATAAATACACCCATGGTTCTCCTTATTGCTGATTATCTATTTTACTAAGAGATTATGTGGACATTCCCCACCATTTGTAATGTACTAAGTGTTGATGACAATGGTAACTAGCACTTACCTGTGGTGGGAATCGGTCATATAAATACACCAATGTCTAAGGTTTTGTCTCCAGTTTTTCCCCATTAGCCTTAAGTGTAATATATTCATTTGATTTCTATCTCAGGGACTTGCACCTCAATGGCATTCAATTGTCATCAACCAAAATGCGCTGGTTTGCTTATAAGATCTAGACTAGCACATACCTGTGCTTATAACTGCAAGTTTCTTAATATTTGCTTAAATATCAGTTTCATAAATATAACTTTTAAAGTTTCCATCATGATTGTACAACACTTGGATAGAATTCAGGATACCAAAAGGTTTTTATTGTATTAAGTGTATAGTTCCTATCACTTGTAATGTGCTGGTTTGATATTGCAAATTAGCACTTATCTGTGGTGGGAATTACTCACTTTCAAAAAAAAAGATTTCAACACTTGCTTATATAGTTCTACCTCCAATAGATATTAAGTGTATATATAGTTCCTATCACTTGTAATGTGCTGGTATGATAATTTGAACTAGCACTTACCTGTGCTGGGAACTGCACACTTTCAAAAGCATCTTTCCTCATCTCCTGCTCTTACTTTAGTTTTTAAAGGCCTTAAATGTATAGTTACTATCACTTGCAATGTGTTGGTATGACACCGAGAACTAGCACTTACCTGTGCTGGGAATTGCACACTTTCAAAAGCACCTTTTCTCAGCAACTGCTTAGATTTTGTTTTCCTATAGGTTTGAAGTGTTCAGTTCCCATCACTTGTAATGTGCTGGTATGCTTAATGAGAACTAGCACTTACCTGTGCTGGGAACTGCACCTTTCCTCATCTCCTGCTTTTATTTCACATTTTAGGGTCTTAAGTGTATAGTTCCCATTAGTTGTAATGTGCTTGTATGTTACTGAGAACTAGCACTTACCTGTGCCGGGAACTGCATACTATCAAAACACCTTTTTTCAACACCTATTTAGCCTAGAAATAATTTTCTGAAAAGTATACAGGGTAGTTTCCATCACCTGTTATGCATTTGTCTGTTTCTTGAAAACTAAGTTATACATTTCTGTACAGGATATTGAACATTTTCCTGAACTTCATGTCTCAACACCTGCTTATCTTTTAGTTTCTTTAAGATATTAAGTGTATAGTTCCTATCACTGGTAATGTGCTGGTATAATAATGTGAATTAGCACTTACCTGTGCTGGGAACTGCACACCTTCAAAAGCACCTTTCCACATATGCTTTTATTTTAGTTATTAAGGTCTAAAGTGTATAGATCCCAACACTTGTAATGCACTGGTATGATAATATGAACTAGGGCTGGGATGATACTACTTTTTCTATATCGATATGTATCACGATAATTAAGCCACGATACGTTATGTATAACGACATGTTTAATTGTTAATAATTCTTTTTGTATTGAAATGAACAAAACATTTCTTCACAAATAAGAATGATTTATTCAAAGAAGTTGTATATCTGTTGTAAAACTAAATAATTTTTCACAAGGGGTGTTAATTATTTTAAAGTATTTCATATTTATATTAAGCTTATTTATTTTATATATTAAACCCAAAATGTTAAGTAAACAAAGAAAAACATAAGTCAGATTTTTTTGGGCGATATTGCTTTCTTCATACGTATCAATATGCATATCATCCTCACATAGGATCCATATCTCGATTTATCGTCCCAGCCCTAATGTGAACTAGCACTTACCTCTGCTGGGAACTGCACACTTTCAAAAGCACCTCTCTCATCTTCTGCTTTTATTCCAGTTTCTTAAGGTTTTAAGTGTATAGTTCCCATCACTTCTAATCTGCTGGTATGATAATGTGAACTAGCACTTACCTGTGCTGGTAACTGCACACTTTCAAAACACCATTTCTTAACACCAGCTCCTTAGCATTTAGTTTCCTAAAGATATTAAGTGTATAGTTCCCATCACTTCTAATGTTCTGGTATGATATCGAGAACTAGCACTTACCTGTGCTGGGAATTGCACACTTTCAAAAGCACCTTTCCACAACTCCTGTGTTGATTTTGTTTTTCTAAAGGTTTTAAGCGTATAGTTCCTATCACTTGTAATGTGCTGGTATGTTATTGAGAACTAGCACTTACCTGTGCTGGGAACTGCACACTTTCTAAAGCATCTTCTTCAACTCCTGGGTTGATTTTGTTTTTCTAAAGGTTTAAAGTGTATAATTCCTATCACTAAAGCATCTCTCATCTCCTATTTTTATTTTAGTTTTGTAATGCCTTAAATGTATAGTTCCCATCTCCTATTTTTAAATGCCTGAGTGTATAGTTCCCAATACTTGTAATCTGCTGGTATGTTATTGAGAATTAGCACTTACCTGTGCTGGGAACTGCACACTTTCAAAAGCACCATTCCACAACTCCTGCTTTTATTCCACATTTTAAAGGTCTTGAGTGTATAGTTCCCATTACTTGTAATGTGCTGGTATGTTATTGAGAACAAGCACTTACCTGTGCTGGGAACTGCACACTTTCAAAAGCACCTTTCCACAACTCCTGCTTTTATTCCACATTTTAAAGGTCTTGAGTGTATAGTTCCCATTACTTGTAATGTGCTGGTATGTTATTGAGAACAAGCACTTACCTGTGCTGGGAACTGCACACTTTCAAAAGCACTTTTCCACAACTCCTGCTTTTATTCCACATTTTAAAGGTCTTGAGTGTATAGTTCCCATTACTTGTAATGTGCTGGTATGTTATTGAGAACTAGCACTTATCTGTGCTTGGAACTGCACACTTTCAAAAGCACTTTTCCACAACTCCTGCTTTTATTCCACATTTTAAAGGTCTTGAGTGTATAGTTCCCATTACTTGTAATGTGCTGGTATGTTATTGAGAACTAGCACTTGCCTGTGCTGGGAACTGCACACTTTCAAAAGCACTTTTCCACAACTCCTGCTTTTATTCCACATTTTAAAGGTCTTGAGTGTATAGTTCCCATTACTTGTAATGTGCTGGTATGTTATTGAGAACTAGCACTTATCTGTGCTGGGAACTGCACACTTTCAAAAGCACCATTCCACAACTCCTGCTTTTATTCCACATTTTAAAGGTCTTGAGTGTATAGTTCCCATTACTTGTAATGTGCTGGTATGTTATTGAGAACTAGCACTTACCTGTGCTGGGAACTGCACACTTTCAAAAGCACCTTTCCACAACTCCTGCTTTTATTCCACATTTTAAAGGTCTTGAGTGTATAGTTCCCATTACTTGTAATGTGCTGGTATGTTATTGAGAACTAGCACTTATCTGTGCTTGGAACTGCACACTTTCAAAAGCACCTTTCCACAACTCCTGCTTTTATTCCACATTTTAAAGGTCTTGAGTGTATAGTTCCCATTACTTGTAATGTGCTGGTATGTTATTGAGAACTAGCACTTACCTGTGCTGGGAACTGCACACTTTCAAAAGCACTTCTCCACAACTCCTGCTTTTATTCCACATTTTAAAGGTCTTGAGTGTATAGTTCCCATTAATATAATGTGCTGGAATGTTATTGAGAACTAGCATTTACCTGTGCTGGGAACTGCACACTTTCAAAAGCACCATTCCACAACTCCTGCTTTTATTCCACATTTTAAAGGTCTTGAGTGTATAGTTCCCATTACTTGTAATGTGCTGGTATGTTATTGAGAACTAGCACTTACCTGTGCTGGGAACTGCACACTTTCAAAAGCACCTTTCCACAACTCCTGCTTTTATTCCACATTTTAAAGGTCTTGAGTGTATAGTTCCCATTAATATAATGTGCTGGTATGTTATTGAGAACTAGCATTTACCTGTGCTGGGAATTGTACACCTTTCTTCAACTCCTGCCTTTATAATTTTAGCTTTTTAAGGTTTTAAGTGTGTAGATCCCATCACTTGTAATGTGCCAGTATAATATTGTCAACTAGCACTTACCTGTGCTTGGAATTGCATACTTTCAATAGCATCTTCCTCATCTTAAGCTTTTATTTTAGTTAATTAAAGATCTTAAATGTATATTTCCCAATACTTTTAAATGTGCTGGTATGTTTTTGAGAACTAGCACTTTCCTGTGCTGGCAACTGCACACTTTCAAAAGCATCTCTCCACACCTCCTGCTTTGATTTTTATTTTTTTTTTTTTAGAGGTTTTAAGTGTGTAGCTCCCATGACTTGTAATGTGCTGGTATGATAAGGTGAACTAGCACTTACCTGTGCTGGGAATTGCACACTTTAAAAGCACCTCTTATCTCCAATTTTCATTTTGGCTTTTTTAATGCCTTAAGTGAATAGTTCCCAATACTTGTAATTTGCTGGTATGTTACCGAGAACTAGCACTTACCTGTGCTGGGAATTGCACACTTTCGAAACACCATTTCTCAACATTAGCTTAGCATTTAATTGCTAATAAGATATTAAGTGTGTAGTTCCCATCACTTTTAATATGCTAGTATGATATTGAGAACTAGCACTTACCTGTGCTGGTAATTACGCACCTTTCTTCAACACCTATTTAGCCTATAAATAATTTTCTGAAAAGTATATTGGGGTAAAGTTTCCACCTCCTGTTATG